GGGATGAATTCAACTCGTTCTTGAGCGCGGGGCGCGAGATGCATGCGCCGATCGCTCATTATCGGGGGCGGCCCGGAAGTGCCAGTGGACCTCGGTGGACTCGCCGGGCGCCGCTGCGGATTTGTTCGCCCCGCCAGCGGCGCTCGCCGCGCTTTCTGGGCAGCGGCCCGCAGGCGCGCGTTGATCTACGCGGGCGAGAAGGCCGCCCGCCTGGCTATGGGCACCCGCCTGAAGATGCACGTGATGCATAAGCCAGCAGAGGTGGTGATGGCCCCGCGGAGAGTGGCAAAGGGCAGCGCGGGTCGACTGCCTCGTCGCGGTCGCCGCCGGCGACGGCCTCGCGTCTTCGCGGGCGCCATCTGCGGGGGCCGCTGGATCGCTTCCCCCGGGCGCGCGCGCGGGGCTTCGCCGCCGCAAGTGCGACCGGCCAGCGCGGATGAGCGATCGGCCCGCCGCGTGGTTGAGGCGTCGCCGCGCATTCGCGTCGTCGACATGGACTGCGCGAAGGCCCAGCGCTACCTCGACGTCGCCAGTGGCGAGCGCCCAGGGCAATGAGTCGCACCCGATGACCGCGGAGAAAATGCAGATCCCGAGCCTGGTGGACTCCAATCTGGGCGCGAACGGGCCCGTGAGATACCCCCTGGCGGCCGCACCTGGCAGTGCTGAAACCAGCGCCTCGCCCGAGACATCCACGGGAACTGCCCCGAGAGAGATGGCGCTGGGCGCCCAAGCAGGCAAATCGCTGGAGACCCCACCCCGATCTGGGCGCGAACAGGCTCGCGATATGCCCCTGGCGCCCCCCCTTGGAAGCGCTGAAACCAACGCCGCGCCTGAGACATCCTCGGAAACTGCTCCGAACGAGAAGAGCGTCGAGCGCGGGCAAACCGCCTGAGACACCCCCCCAATCTGGGCGCGAACGGGCCCGTGATGCGGCACCCCTTGAGACGCACTGAACGGCGCCTCGCCTGAGACACTTCCAATAATTGCTCCGAAAAGCGAAGGGCGCCGAGCACCCGAATGGGCAAACCGCCTGAGACCCCCCCCCCAATCTGGGCGCGAACGGACCTGCGACATACCCCCTGGCGCCCCCCCTTTAGAGCGCTGAAACCAACGTCTCGCGTGAGACATCCTCGTGGCGCGAGCGTGGGTCTGAGCGCATCAGTGCCAGGAGTGTGAGTGAGTCTGCGCGTGAGTGACCCTGAGTATGAGAAACCCGAGTATCAGGAATTCTAAGAGCGAATGCATCTAAGCATGAGTAAGTCTGAATACGAGCGAGTCTCCACGGGCGCGAGTCAGAGAATGATGACCTGAGTTTTTTCCCGCGCGGTCACAGCGATGGCAAGAACCCCGCCCTTAGGATATGAGGACATGAGGTGGAGGAGGCGGAGGAGGAGGAGGAGGAGGAACAAACTGTTCGGAGCGGTAAGGGTAATAACAATAACCTCATCAATCGGATAGCGAGGTGGGGCCTCGCCGGCGGGCTTGGAGAAGACCACCAAGGCTTGATCCAGGGCGTGCGAGAAGCTGATCTCTGGGGCGCAGTCGCGGCGACCGACCCCCTCGGCGGAATCCCCAGAATCGAGGAGGCCGCGCTGGGCGCGACGGGGCCGCGCCGCGTAGCCCGTTCCGACTGAGATGGGGGGCGACAACAGCCACGACGCGGCGAAGTGCAGGATGACCGTCCAAGGGTTCAGTGCCCCAGACTTGCTGGACCTGGGGAGGGCGGGTTGCGCGCGGGCGCCGACCCTCTCGCCCGGCGGCCGGGCAATCGTGCCGTGGACCATCGTGCCGGCCAAGTTATTTCTGGCCATCGGCGAAGTCGAGTGCGCCCCATCGAGACGGGTGACGCCTTCGCGGAGTTCCCGCCCGAGGATCTTTCCGATTCGCTGAGCGAGGTGATCGACGGGCGTGGCCGACGTGATCGGCCCCAGCTGCGATGGCTGTCGTTCACCAAGTTTCGCGTGGAGGAGCCTGGTTTCGCGCCGCCTTTTCTGGGCCCGCGCGCGCCGGTGCTCTTCGAGGACATCGGGGACAGCCTGACTTTCGCCCTGGACGTGTACCGAGTCATTGAGGGAAGTGGCACAGAGCCCCATCGAGCGGTGCGCCGCGGCATCTTGCGCGGCGCCCGGGGCCGCCGCGCGGGCGACCAGTTGTTCGGGGGGCGAGGCCCCACGTGGCCCCGAGCTCTGGCCAGTCCGAAGAACCGCTTCCCATGCCGGAAGTGGCAGGAGAAGCTGGTCGAGTTGGCGGGGCCCGCGTTGCCGCGGCTCGCGGGCCGCGCGGCCGTGCTCTCCTAGCGGCAGCTCGCCGCGGAGAAGAGATTGGGCGGGCGCCGACGCGACGACGCGCCAGCACGGCCGCTCTGGCGGTCCCGTGCGAGATGGAAGATTTCATATCCCTCAATAAATTTGGAAATTCAGCTGCTGGGCGGTCGCGTCCGGGCCTCAGTATACTTTGAGCTCGAACCAACAGAAGATGCCCCGCTCGACCTGATGTAGGGGATATTCGCCAGGGGGAACCTGCTCGCCCTTCGCGCTCGGCATTTCGCCGACCTCGAAATTCGGCGCCCCTCGATCTCCATCGACCAGCTCGCCTTCATCGCCCAGCCTGGTCATTCGGGGCGCGCGCGGGGGGGCGCATCGTAGGGGTGTCCACTTGTGGCATGGGGCAGGTGTGGCGGCTCCGCGGCGCGATATCGTGTCCGTAGAGTGGTTCGGTCGACCTAGGCGCGCGAGCCGTCGGTCATGGCAGATGGGCTCGGGCACTTGGAGTGCGTGGTGTGTTCTTGCGCCGCGGGCTGCTGCCATCGGGTCCAGCTCTTCCCGAGCTTGGCCGTCGCTGGATGTGAGAGCATCTGCGGTAATGTCTGTAATGTGGGAAGTCCGTCCGAAATCGATGGTGCACGGTGTGCCGTGGACACTGTCATGAGTAAGGCGAGATTAGCCTGGGTGAGCTCTACGCTGGCCCAGGCCCCCACCCTGCTCATGCTTGCAAGCCGCCTCGCGAAAGACATGGCCGAGCCTGCTGGCCTGTTGAGAAATTGCATGCGCCGCGGCACCCCTCAGCAAGCATGAGAGCAGCGCCTTGGCCGAAACGATTGTAGACCGTGTCCTGCGGAAACAGATATCGGCAACTCTTGTCTCGCGACGGCGCCGATCTGGCCATGGTCAAGATCGAGGTGATAGGGGCCCCCGAGTATCGCCAGGAGTTTCTTGGGGCGCCTCGGCGAGGCGGGCGACGGGGTGATCGATGGGCTCGAGCAACCGCAACCGCAAATATCAGGGCCGACCCGCAGGAAAACAGGCTCATCGGCGCGGACGGGGAGGCGAAGGTCACCTTGGCACACCACGCCTCGACCAGCAGCATCGCGATCCACCCCCGGCGATCGTGGGGGAATGCGTCTACGAGCGTCTCGAAGTCATGGAAGATGTCCACCGGGTGTCCGCGATGTCTGAGCAGTTATTCGGTTCCAGCTTGAACGAGCGCAGCGATCAATTCCTTCGGCCCCCCGACCCAGGGCGCGCGACGGACGCTGAGAAGGGCCAGGCCGACGGCTGTCAGTGTGCGCGGGGCGCTTCATTTCAATGCGCGGCCGGGCCGGCGCGAAGCGCGCCCGCGCGATCCGGCGGCCGCGCGAGACGGATTTCCACGAGAGTGTTGGCGAGATGGGCCGCAACGTCTGGGGCTCGCTCGAAGCCTTTTCCACATTGGCGAGACAAGGTGCTCAAGTACCTAGCCGAGGAGTGCGGCTTCCAGGCGGAGGCGCTGGACGAGGCGGGGTGCAGCGCCAGCTACGGGTGCGATCGGTTCTCGGATGCCCCGCAATTGGCGACCGAGGGCGTGGAGAGGGAGTCGTGCGAGTATGACGGCCATGACGAATGCGACGCCACGGAGTTGCGGGGACCGCGGCAGCCGGAAGTAGAGGAGTTATGGGGTTGCCGCCTGCCCGCGCCATAGCTCGTCGGTGCTCGTTCGTTCAGTCATTAGAGCCTCGGGCCCCTCATCGGGGTGGAGGCATAATTTTAATTCTTGGAGTGTTTATGTGCACTCATTGGCCTCGCGCGCCCCTGACGTTTGAGCCCTAGTCTGTCTCACGAGCGCTCAGGCTGCTCGGATGGCCCCTGATAAAAGAGCCTGGAGGGCCACAGCTCGAACGAACTCTCGCGTTGCCATGGGGTCGCGACGCCAAATGATGTCGTCGAGGCGCAGGTGGGCCAGGGTGGGGTGGAGGGGTGAGGGGGGGAGGCGCGACGCAAAATAAAGTGGTCGGAGCTGTAGACAGGGCGCAAGATAAAACATGTGAGTCGCATATGGGCCCCCTCCACCTCTGGGGGCTCCGGTGGAATTCGGCATCTGGTTACCATTCGCGTGAGGGGCCCAGTGGGGGGAGAATGCATGTCCCCCCCTTTCCCCCAGCGGGCTTCTGGTGGAGCTCCCTGTGGGCCACGAAACGTGTGAGCGGTGCGCCGAAATGGGGGTGAACCGTATGTGCCCCCTCTCTCCCCCGTGGGCCGTAGGCGGAGCCCCCTACGGGGCCAAAAGGCGTGTGATCGGGTGTATCGACATGGACATGCGAGGGCAGAGGCAGGGATGGGAGGAAGGAGGCGGAGGAGGAAAGTTAGTTGAGGTAAGCTGCGCGGGACGTTTTTTTTGTTTGTTTATATATATATATATATATATAATATATATATATATATATATATATATATATATATATATATATAACGACACCACATGAAGTCCTGAATATATCCATGAAACAAACAAAGATTCGGTGAGAAGGGCGGGCACTTCCCCCGCCATCTCTGGGTGAGAGAGGATAGTAGCACGCACTAAGTCACATGGACTAATTGTAAACACGAAGGGGTTTGGGGGGAGGCCAGTGGGTGGGGGTGGGGGGCCGGGCCGACGGGAGCGGAGCAGAGGGACAGGCTGGGAGAAGCTCGGGGGGGCGTTGCCGCATCGGTTTTGCCGCCCTCTTCTCCGCCCGCGGCCCCCAGCGCAAGTGGATCGCCGCGACCGTCGCCCTCAGGATCTCGCCGGGCGAGCGCTGAGGTCGGCCAGCGGCGCCCGCCTTGCCGTGGGTACGGGCGGCCGAAAGAGTTGAGCAGTCCTGCGTTCCCATTGCCCGTCCAATCATCTGCGTCCTCCCCGCCCTCAGGCGCCGAAGCAGCGCGTCGGGTGCGGGCGGGGCCTGGTGTTCCTGTTGGTCCTTCCATGGCGGGTCCCCTGGCGCTTCTTGGGCACCCAGGGAGGTTGTGGCCAAAGGGGGGCGTCGGTCCCCATTCAGCGCCCTTGGTGGTGAGTGTCACGACGGCTGTATCTCCCTCCTGCCTACTTGCCTTCTGATTGCCTGAGGTTGACGGCGCCTTGGACCACGGTCTCCCAGGAACGTGCTTGGTTCGGTCGGCTCGGCCGTGTCGGCAATTGGCCTCGCTGGGTCTGTCTTCGGTTCGGCTTTCGCCGTGGACGGCCATGGCACACGGAGTTGTATTTCCCCCCTGGACCAATTCGATGCACGACTTGGAGAGCGCCCGCTATATGGCAACGCGCACCGTCACAGGGAATCCAAGACGCTCAAAGAAACCCCAAAGCATTGATTAGTTGACGTGCCTGCCAAGCCCCGACCCTCTACGCAGTTGAAGCCGAGTGTATGCACTATAACATGCAACTGCTATTCATTCTGGAACGTGCCACACACACCATTCATCTATATATACGTACACATACATATATATATATATATAAATAAATAAATAGTTCTTTTATGCAAGGAGGTGAGTCTGATTTTTTTGGTAAGATATGTTCGACCACATCGATCTCGCCATCAAAATCATTGCTGCTGGCTGCAGCGTTATCCGTACGAAAACGCACAGCAACGCCTTCGAGATAATCATTATCGAAAGGACTCCCATCGACATACTCGTATGTTCCAGGTCCTTTGCCATGTAAGATTATGTTCGCGGTCGATTTCAACAGGTCACTGGTGCCTTCGGATCGCCATCGGGGCCATGGAACAGGCCGCCCTGCAACATTGATGGCAAAGAGCGTGCCCATCACGCTCTTTTCAGCGCGGCGATCGCGGTGGCACCGAGGCGACGCCCAGATTTCCACGAGTCCTATCGGATCCTATCCTATCTCTCCTGCCTGCAGGACACGCATCTCTAAGGTCACCCTTGTTGCCGAGCCCCTGGCGGTCTCTGCTGGGGATGGCGGTGTTCGCCATCGCTGCAACGCTGCTGCTGGCGGTTGCTGCAACAGCGGCCTGATGATTGCCATAGTTTGTCGCCGTGTTGAAGTTGCGAGGAAAAGCGCGACCTGTTCCCAGAATTCACAGCACTGAGACAAAAACGACACAAATGCATGGTCGCCGTTTCTGGACATGAGGGGACATGCCCTGGGAAGATCCCGAAATTCCATTTGAACGTTGCACCGGAACAAATCTAGCAGCGTATCTGATCTGCGGTTTTTGATTCAAGCCTGCGAGCTCAGGGGCTGCGCAGGGGGGACAGGCGCGGGGGAGACGCATCGACCCCAATCGCCCACTGATCGCCGATAAAGGCCCCATAACCAACCTCCCCCAAGAGAGTAAGATTCTGGTATCGGAGATTTACTGCCGATGCATCGGCGATATATCGGCGATTCCAGCTCGATGTCTCCCCCCGTAAGCTGGCCCCCCTTTACCGCAGTTTCCCCCAGGTTCCAGGGGAGGGTGGCGCTGCTCAGTCTCCACTACGAGCAAGCAGCTTTATGCGCCGCCACCTTCCCTGACTCGTCGGCGTGGCGTGTGTCTGGGGATAGGCTTTCGCGGGTTACTCATGGACATCCGATATGCTTTCTTTTGTTGCAATTCGGGGTGCCAGGGCGGGCTTTTCATCCTGTGCCGGTTTTGAAGTGTCTTGGGGCCCAGCCAGGGCCCCCAGCCGCCGAAAATTGCATAATGGTGCCCATTATGTTTTTGTTCACCATGCGGGCATGTGTGGGCATGCTCTTGCTCAATGTTGCCAGGGGTTCCCCCATCCCACCTACGCTCCCAGTTGGGAATCAAATTTGGTCCTTCCAACTCTGCCCTTCCCATCATCATCACTCCTTCCATCACCAGCAGCATGAGCGGGATAATCCGGATTCTAATTTGCATCCTATCGTCATCGCTGGCACCATCAGCATCAGCATCATCATTATCACAGTAGTCGCCGCTATCACCATCAGCATCACCAGCATCCTTTTCCTCCTGCTCAGCATACTCACAGCAACCGTCACCATGATGGCTCAGAGCGCCTGGTGGCCAGGCACCAAAAAACAGGCCGCGGCCGCGCCCCCTGGCCCTCGACGGCCAGGTTTCTCTGCTCCTTGTCCCGCGTTTCCTCTCCGCCATAGAGGCGAGGCGCTAAGCCAACACATGTAAAGAGTGTAAATCCCACTTATCCGCCAGTCCTTTTCCAGAGCGAGGGGAGCGAGGGCCGCTCTGACTGCCCGCCTCCCCCACGTACGAGCACGACTGCAACCAAGCTGGCTGTCGCTCTCAAAGCGCTCATTCAGCCCCTCTCGTGCAGTGTGGATTCACTCGCACAGGAGGTGGATCGAAGTACCACTTATATTACCCAGCACACTTCGGGAATCAAGGGCCAGATGTTGCAGGCTGGGGCGAATTTTCAAAGTTTACAAGCAGTTCGCGCAGACCTCGTGAAGTAGACTATTGCTAGTTTAATACATCAGCGTACTCGCGCTATCCAGAACTTTGCCCTCTTGCAGGTCATTCAGGATCGCGAGAGTATTGCGAAGGAGATGAGGAAAGAAGTTGCGGGGGACATTGGTGGGATGAGAGAGAAACTAGCGGCGTCGAGGGCGGCTCGGAGATCCGCGGCACGGGCGCGCCCGTGATTGGAACGGCAAGCCATCGAGCATGTAGGACGCCAGGTCTGTCGTCGCATCGACCTAGGTGATGTTGGCAACTCTTCACGCCTCGTGGCCCGGGGGTTTCTTCGCCCGCTGCTGGAAGCTGTTCTTCGCCAGGCTGCCGCACCGATCGCGACCCAATGTGCGTTGGCCAGCGACGCCCACCTATTCTGATTAAGGCTATCAATTGTAGGAAGTCGGTGTTTATCGATGTCCTAAGCGCTCCGATGGTTTTCACATGTCACGCGAGGGGCCGCATGCCTTTCCCGACCCGGAGGGCGGCGTCGACCTGGAGTTCCGCGCCCGTCGCGACCTTCTTCTGTCGTTTCGCAAGTTGTTCTGCAATCTCGGGGGCGCGAGGCAGGCAGCGGCGCAGATCTCCAAGCAAGCGCGCGTCGGATCCACGGGGCTCGGGGGAACGGCTTCTGTGGCCAAGGGCGCCTTCCTTCTTCCCGTCGTGGAGATTTCCACGTTCGATAGCTCCCCTGAGACGGGCAGTGTGCGCATGATGGTGGACAGAGCAGGGTTGGCCGATATCCTGGGCGAAGCGCATGCGCCTTGCTTGCGCGTCCGCCCTTCGAAGATTCGCCCTTCTCGACGAGCGCGACAGCTGTCCTGAAGGAAGGAGGCTGGACGGGGGCAGTGCTGAGGATTTGGCATGCGGGAGCTCGATTGGGCCCTCATCTCCTAAGAGTGGTGATAGCTGTAGTTCACTCGGATCAGCGTCGCAATATCCCCCCCCGCTGGCTGAGGTTGCTGGTGGAGCCAATCGCCCTTGCACCCCGCTCGCGCTCTGCGCGCGGGGCGCTCGCGACCTCCCTCTGCGCCCCCGTCTCATCCCCATCTCTCAGAGCGAGCTCAAGAGTTCAGCCGGCAGAGAGGTTGCTCGAGGCGCGCCCGATCCCACGCCCTCAGGAAACCCGCGTTGGCGGGGCCGGCTTAGCCGCGTTAGCTGACGAGATGCGCGCAGGCACAGCGCGCGGCAGCGTCATGGAACAAGAGGCAATTAAAGATGTTGCCAGGTTTGCCTCTGAAGCTCCTTGCTGATCTCTTTCCGAGTGCGGTTTCTATGTGGGTTGTAGGAGGGAGCCCTCGTGCCGCGTTGCTCGGGGCGCGCGGGGGGCCTCGCGGATGCGTGCGCGCGTGTGCCCAGCGCGCGCGAGTACGTTAGTGCGTCTAAGTGAATATGAGGCAGATTCTGGGCGCGCCACCCCTGCTGCTCACAGTTTGGCACTGGTGGCAGGAGTCTGGAATTTTGCCCCGATGGATGATGGGGGGTTTCGCGCCGGGTGTGAGGTCGGCCCAGGGGGCTGATGGCAGCGTGGCGCTTTTTCGCGAACACTGCGGCTTCTGGTGTGGATTTTGCCAGCGTGACCCCGCGCGCAGGGACATCGTCGGTGGTGAGATTCGCGGTGTTTCGCTGCTTGACAGAGTCTGCGCCGCCCCCGCCTGCGGGCGTCGCCAGTGCGTTGGTTGCGTCGGCGGCGCCGCGGGGGCCCCAGTCAACAGAAGGGCTTCGTCGGGCCATGTCCATGTAGCAGCGACGATCGTCCGTCCCAAGCCTGGGGCTCTCTTCGCAGCGCCGAGACGGAGTCTGTTGACGCGCGGGGCGCAGGGGGGGCAGACCTCTCGGAGCGCACGCGCAGAGTGAGTGCCACATCCGGAGCTCTCGCGGTCGAATCTCGAATCGATGAGCATCGAATGGCGCCGGGCGGACGCGCTGTGCGATTATGGCGCGCGGAGGGGGGGGGGGGGGGAGCGCTTGCATCTCGACTCTCGCGCCCTCCGACGCCGCGAGGCCCCCGCCCCCTCGTCGGCGTAGACCGCGGCGTCTGCGCGGGCCCCGGCGGCCCGCGCCCTCACGCCGCCGCATTGAAGAGCAGGTGGTTTGAGGAGGAGATGGAGAAAGCGGAGCAATGAGGGGGCGGAGATCATGTTGAAGCAACGTTTGGCGTCTCTGGAACGAGGTGGGATGCGATGAGACGTTGGGTGTGACAGAGGGGGCCACTGGGCGAGAATGGCACGCCGCGCCCAAGTCCCGACGGCGCGGGCCGCGCGCTGGCGCGCAGTCGGTTGGCCGTCTTCCGCGCGAACCTTGCTTGCGCTTGAATCAGGGCGAGAGCAAGATGCGTCTTCGTTTCAAGCGGCGCCCGGCCCTTGGGCCCGATGGCGCGCCGCATGGAAGCGGGGCAGTTCCTGAGGCTGCTGATG